CATTTCCAGTTATGGCTCACGGCGCTTTGGATGTGTCCATGTTACCTTACAAGTTTCTCGGTGCAATGGACAACCCCCTGGGACTGGTCACCCAACTGACGACACCTTTTGCTCTTCATGAAAGCTGTGGATTGTAAACTTCAGTCTCCACTTTCTTTGATAAACTATATACCTGATAGGTCTCAAAGGCAATAGATGAACCCCGCTCCGTATGACCTTAAGAGATTTGGCAGAACTAACATAACATTTCTACTCTTAACAAATTTGGAGATATAGGACCAGGACACCGCAAGCTATGCACTCCCTCCCCAAAATGCATAACCAAAGAAACTACAATTTTTGGTTCTTGGTTCTAGTTTTCCTCCGCTAACATCCATCTAAGGTGTCGGTGCTAATTCCAATCCAAAAGGTGTCGGTGCTAACATCCTTTGTTCTTACAACCCTCCAACACTCCAGGATCGGTGTTAATTCCAATCTAACTTACAGTTCTGAGAACTATGGTCTGTGGAGTAGATCTATACGCCTTGCTTTCAAAGCAAAGCGTAAATTAGGGTTCATTACTGGAACGTGCATTAAAGCATCACTTGAAGATGATCTCCATGAGGAATGGAAGACAAGCAATACAATAGTGCACTCGTGGATTATGAACTCTGTATCGAAGGATCTACTGAGTGGAATCATTTATGCATCAGATGTACATTCAGTGTGCGAGGATATTAAGGAGCGATTTGATAAGGTGAATCGAGTAAGGATCTTTCAATTACACAGAGGAATCTCGAGACTGTCACAGGGATCCGACTCTGTGGTTGTATATTTCACAAAATTGAAGGTGCTATGGGCAGAATATGACGTACTTGTGCCTTTCCCAAACTGTGGATGTGTGAAATCAAAGGATATGTTGTGCATTTACATCAAAATAGGTTGATGCAGTTTCTGGATCGCCTGAATGATACCTATACCAAGCTCGAAGACAGATTTTGATGAAGACAACTGAACCTACTCTTAACCAAGTATTTGCTATGATCACACAAGACGAAAGCCAACAGTCTATGGGTGGTAGTGCAACGGCAGAAAAGGTAGATCCTATGGCAATGCAAGTTGGAAGAGGTCAAGGTTTTCGAGGGAAGAAGCAATTCCTACAGTGTGAACATTGCCATATGAAAGGGCACACTAAGGAGAATTATTTCAAAATCATTGGTTATCTTGAAGATTTCAAAGGAAAGAAGGGACATTAGGCTAGAGATTATAGGCCTAAAGGACCTTTCACTACAGTCAACAATGTGGAAGGGACCAGCAACTTCTAATTCACAGAGAGTAACATAACAGAAGGGAGACTTTTTCTTCATTGAGGCACAGTACCAACAGATACTTCACTTACTCAATATGGATGCACACACAATCAGACACAAGCTAATATGGCAGGTAATATTTGTGACTCTTGCATCAAGTGTCCATAATGACAACTGGATAGTGGACTCGGGGCCTCACACCACATAGCATCTTCACTAGAATTATTGAATGATGTTAAGAATGTGGATAGTTGTAAAAGAGAAAAGGTGTGATTACCGAATGGAGACAGTACTAATGTTACACATTGGTAGTACACAATTTTCAGCAGATACTAAGCTTGAAAATGTATTGTATGTTCCTGACTTAAAGAACTTAATGTCAGTTTCAAAGTTAACAAGGGACTTACAATGTGGTGCTCTCTTCCTGCCAAAACTATGTGTCTTCAGGACCTTTATAGTGGCAGGGTCAAGGGGATTGGTAAGGAAACTGGTGAACTATATCTGCTGAAAGGAAAAGGAACAGAACAAAAAACTGCTCATGTCAGTTCATTGGAGAAGAATAAAGATTCAGGAGAGCTTTGGCACCGGAGATTAGGACATCCTTCATTGCCAGTGATGCAACATGTCTCTTTTTTGCATAATAAAGTAGACAATACAGTACAAATTAATGTTCTATTTGTCTATTGGCTAAGCAACATAGATTGAGTTTTCCTGTTAGTGAGCACCTAAGTACTAAGCCATTTCAACTTGTTCACATGGATGTATGGGGCCCTATAAGGTTGCTACACATGATAATAAACATAACTTTCTTACAGTTGTGGATGACTATACTAGAGCAACTTGGATTTCTTATGCAGCTGAAAAGTGAAATAATCATATTTTTGAAACAGTTCTTTTGTATGGTACAGACTCAGTTTGGCACTTGTGTTAAGGTGGTTAGGACAGATAATGGCAGAGAATTCTTTAACCATCAGTGGACTGCATTCTTACAGACTCATGGGATAATTCACCAGAGTAGTTGTGTGCACACCCCACAACAAAATGGGGCGGATGAGAGAAAACACAGACACATCTTAGACACTGCTAGAGCACTGAAGTTTCAGGCTGGGATACCAAGAAAGTTTTGGGGGGAAAGTCTGCAAACAGCTGTTTATCTTATAAACAGACTTCCTACTAGAGCGCTAGGTGGTAAGAGTCCTTTTGAGTTGCTTATGGCAGGCAACCCTCACTAGCACATCTGAGAATTTTTTGTTGTTTGTGCTATGCTACAAATGTGGTGAAGGAAGACAAATTTGGACCTAGAGCTAGGGAAGCTGTCCTAATGGGGTATTCCACTACTCAGAGGGTTATAGACTGTTTGATAGGGCTACTAACTCTTTTTTTGTCAGCAGGGATGTCATATTCAGGAAATCTATATTTCCTTTTATTACAGCACAGCAGCAGCAGCCTGTTTCCACTTATCAATTCTCAAATCACATAGCTGATATCTTTGAGACATTACAAAGGGAAGAGATGATCACTATGGATTCAGTAGGATCATAGGTCACAACTGAACAGGGGGAGCATGCAGATCTCTCAATATCAATAAGCCAAGAACCCAATCAAGCAGATGCAATTTTTGATGCAGATGCAGTTTCTGATGCAGCTGGTAATGAAGGTATAGCTGATCAAGAAGCTGCATCAGGTGATGCTGATCCAGCAATTCTTGAACAAGATGCACCAGCTGAACTTCCTATGGCACCAATGAGAACCACTGATCCTACTTTCACTGTCCTCACTAGGAAGTCAACTAGAACAAAGCATCCTCCCATCTGGATGCAGGACTATCTTGTTGCTAGCAAAAAGGATTCTCATTGTCCTTATCCAATATCCAATTTCCTATCCTATGACAATGTCACACAGAGATACAAAGATTACATCATGGCCTTCTCAACAATCACAGAACCACATAGCTTCAATGAAGCAGTGAAGGATGAGTGAAGGATGACAGACGGATACAGGCTATGAAACAAGAGATTGAGGCTTTAGAGGACAACAAGACCTGGGAGGTGGTGGACCTGCCCCCTGGGAAGTCCTCTATCGGCTCAAAATGGGTCTACAAAATCAAGTACAAGTCTAATGGAGAGGTGGAAAGATTTAATGCTTGACCTGTTGCCAAAGGATATAATCAACAAGAAGCATGAAACCTTTTTAACAGTGCAAAAATGGTGACAGTCAAATCAGTGATAGCACTAGCAGCCTCTAAGGACTGGGGTCTTTATCAAATGGATGTATACGATGCTTTTTTGCAAGGTGACTTACATGAGGAAGTCTATATGGACTTGCCTCAAGGTTTTTAGAGACAGGGGGAGACAAAAGTCTGTAGGTTGCTGAAATCACTGTATGGCCTTAAGCAGGCATCAAGACATTGGAACCTTAAACTTACAGAAATTTTGCTCGGTGCAGGCTTCAGTCAAAGTGTATATGACTACTCCTTATTCACCAAGAAATCTGGGAATGGGATTGTTATCATTTTGATCTATGTGGATGATTTACTATTGCTCGGAAGCAGCATTGAACTCATTAATGAAGCAAAATCAGTATTGCACAAGCAGTTCAAAGTCAAACATCTAGGTGAGCTTAGATACTTCCTAGGCATTAAAGTCTTGAGATCTCACCAAGGAATCCTTCTTAACCAGAGGAAGTATACTTTGGAGTTATTTCAGAGTTGGGATTGAGTGGTGCAAAACCTGCTCTTACACCCCTAGAACTTAATCAGAAGCTCACCTCACTAGAATTTGACAAAGGAGTTGGGAGCAAGGTACCTGATCCTTTGGTGGATGTCACAGGATATCAGAAGCTCATAGGAAAACTCCAGTATACATCAGTTATGCAGTGCAAACTCTGAGTCAGTTTATGCAGACTCCAAAAAAGTCTCACATGGATGCAGCCATTCGTGTAGTGAGATATCTCAAACAGGCACCAGGAATGGGGGTGATTATGAGACGAGGGCCAACTAATGCCTTAGTTGGTTTTTGTGATTCCGACTGGGCAGCCTGTCCTATAAGCAGAAGATCTGTTAGTGGTTATATGGTTAAGTTTGGTGACCTTTTAATCTCTTGGAAGTCCAAGAAACAACATACAGTATCTCATAGCAATGCTGAAGCTGAATACAGAAGCATGACATCTGCTGTAGCTGAGATAGTGTGGCTACGAGGCTTATTTGCAGAGCTAGGGACTCCAATTCATCAGCCTGTTATCTTGTACAGACAGCAAAGCAGCAATGCAAATAGCTGCTAATCCTATCTTTCATGAGCGCACAAAGCACATAGAGATAGACTTTCATTTCATCCAGGAGAAACTCAAACAAGGGATTTTGCAAACACAATATGTTTCTACTACAAATCAGCAAGCTGACATCCTCACCAAAGGTTTGGCATCACCTCAACATCAGTTCCTCCTTGGCAAGCTGGGCGTGTTAAACATCTTACACCCTTCATCTTGAGAGGGAGTATTGGTGTATATAAATGTTAGTTAGTTAGTTAGTTAGTGGTATGGACCTTAGTGTACATATTGAAAGTTGTGGTATGTTATAGTTAATTTAGGAAGTTAGTACCTAATTCCTCCTCCTCCTCCTCCTCCTTCTTCTTCTTCTTTTACTGTTTCACTAATAAATTGCAGCGAAATGCTACCCAATTTTTTTCATTTCAGTTACTGCCATTTCTCTGTATACTTAGTGCCGTTTTTTCATTTCATTTAATCTTGTAGAAGAATAGGATGCTTATTTTTTGCTTTAATTGATGCTACTCTTTAGTTTTTTTGCTTTAATTTGCTTACAATTACATGTGTGGTCTATGGGGTATTTAATTTTAATTTTTTTTTTTTAAATTCCGCTTCACTTCAAAAAAGCGAGCGCTTCGCTTCTCGCTTTAAGCGAAAAGGGGCTTGTCGCTTTTCCTTGCTTCACGCTCTTCACAACACTGGGTCTAGCGTACCGTTTGTTTTATGAATACTAATACTAAAATTAGGACTCCCTTGATTTTCAGATGCACAGCTCACAAAGCTCTACCTTTCTTGCAATTTGCTCGCAAAGAAGTTCACATTTGCTCCACACAAATTAGCACCTTCTTGCTCATATGTCTGAACCTCATATATCCCAATGTTATAATTTCATAATCAGGCAAAGAAGAAAAGCCTGTAGCAATTCATACAACACAGGGGCATTATAAAACAGTTAAGACTTTCGACTTTTCTGGCCTTCGTCATGAATAAGTCCTCCTTCATGACCTTCACAACACCTTTGGCCAAAAACTTGCACCTATTAGAATCGAGGGTATCCAGAGAGATGAAATCTTCCCTTGAGTCCGAAAATATGTCAAACTCACGTCAATATTTTCACCATATTAATTCGTACTAATAGTTTTGGTTGGGAAGTCGTTTCCAAGCAAAACTCTGCCGCTACTAACAGGTTCATATTGGCTAAACCAGTATCAATAAGGAGACATATAGTAAGAACAACCTATATCTATTATTCATTCATCATCCGATCAAGCACAATCATCCATCACAAAAAGAAGATTGGTGTTATCCTTCTCTTTAGTAACACTAGTCTCGGCAACATCTTGATCATTGTTGTGGTCTCTTCTCCAGTTCATTCATTTTTACCAGCTTCACAAATTTTTTGGGAATATGTCCTAGTATAGGTAAGTTCGACATCTCTATTTCTGGATTTATTGCTCCTTAGGATCTTCTTCTCAAGAGAGTACCTCACAAATTAACTCAAAAGAAATTTCTGTTGTAATCTTTATTTATGTAGGACAACATATGACATCAACAACAACAAAAAAAGCGACACGCTGATACATATGATTTGGCAAATTAAGCATATATCCACAGGCAAAAAGGAGTAATTTCACTATCAATAGGGTATGCAAAGAGTGCAAAATTAGAAATTGTACTCATAATTTATCCAGAAAATATATCAAGAAGGCTCTTTTAGCTTACCCGAATTGTTCACTGGACTATTAGGAGCATTAATGAAGTCGACCAAGAATTTTTCCATGACATCAGCATTGTAATCAAGCTTGGGTCTATCAGAGTAGCCTAAACCAGGCCAATCTACAATGGTAGTTCTGTAATTAACTTTACCACTTCGTCCAGCAATGTCTTTAGCCACTGATCTCCATTCCTCCACAGTACTAACATCTGAAATAGTGGGAATCAGCAAAACATTCTTACAAGGCTCATCGCTTCCCTTGTCGTGTTCCTCATAATAAATATTCACAGAATTGTCCTTGTATTTCCATAGCCAGTTATTATTCTGAAAAAAAAAAGAGCAACGAATGATTATGAGATAAACAGTTTTTCACCAAATTTAGGAGAAGCAACTAGAAACCGATGATTGAGAAAAAGGTCTTACCTTTGACGATGTAGGTGATTTAGAGGGGGAAGAAAAATCGACAGAAGTAGAAGCTTTGACTAAAAGGGGCTTGTAAAAATTTGGGGTTTGAGATAAATGGGTTCTGCTGTTTCTGAAGGAAAGAGAAGTCAAGGAAGAAGATGATGATGGTAGAAAGTGGAATATAGCAGAGGATGCCATGAATTGAATGTTTAATGGAGGCTCTGTGGATTGTGTGAATTATGGAAGCTTTACCTTAACTTCTGCAACACAAAGATTGTTTCTTTTTTCTGGGTATGCGACTTTGTGTATGTGTGAGAGAGAGAAGCCGCTGGTGTTGATTTTTTCTTTTTTCTTTTTATTTTCCTGTTCTAGCTTAAATTGTAGGTAGGAAAGTTCTTAGATAAATAATTAAATGATATTTGGAGAAACCTTTTTTTCCCCGGATATTTTTGTGAAATCTCTTTCAGGAAATTAATTAACAAGTAACAAGTTGCTAACTTTCAATTTTTCTTTCAATTTTCAGGTTTCCCGTTCGGCTTGACAATTTAGTTCTCCCAAAACCAAAACCAAAATAGAAATTTTCTTTTTCTGTTAATTTTTCTTTCCTGATCACTAGATTAATAATTATGATACTTTGAGCAAGTAATATCTCCATAAAATTGCCTTTTTTTAAAGTTTTTTTTTTGTGCGACGTATATTTAAAGAAAAATATCATAAATTTTAAAGATCTAACATATATAATTTATTGTCTCACTATTATTTACACCAACAAACAGGCTTCATACAATAAAACTTGTTATTTAACTAAATATTAAAATACAGATATTATAAAATATAGATTTCGATCTAATACTTTTTAGATTTTGGTGAAAATTATTTATGTTTCTCAAGTTTATTTTAAAAATTAAACTTCTCATCTAAATCTCTAACTATGAAAAATTGACATTCTACTTCCTCTGTCTTACACGTTATCTATTTTGCCCTTGTCATTTTCAATTCACTCCTTCATGTAAGACTTTTTTTTTTTTATTATATATAATATTTTACCTATGATTTAAATTATGTTATACCTTATGATATATTGAAGTTTAAGTTAACTAATACTATAAATAGAATATTCATATTATGAATTTGCTAAAAAGTAATTGTTATTTTTATGATTATTATTTTAATATGTATTAAGTATATATTTAAGTACATTTTCTTGATGATGAAGTCACAAACTCATATAAGAGGATTAAAAACATATTAAAATCTAACATCCATGATTTAAAATTGTGTCTTAAATTAATTGTGAACTCCCTTTATTATAGCATATTTATTTATGTCAAAGAGACTCAAAAACTTTATATAAAACTAAAAAAAAATATTTTTCCTATTTGTACCATCCAATTTTCTGCCATGAGGATCCAATTGAACCCTTTTGTCTTCCTTTAGCTCCACCTCCACATTTTTCTGTTGTTTATATAGCTTTTTGAGTTATGCTTATTATTAGTGAAATAATTTTTTATATTTATAATTTAACATTATCAAACTATAAATAGTTCATCTTTAGAACTTTTATTATAAATCTATTTCTAATTTTAATAATATAAAAATTATATTTCCTGCATTGGATAGGTGTTTATAAGATTCTCACCATTGGGTAATTTTTTAAAACAAAGTTGGAATATATAAATGATTTTCACCCTTTAGATTTTGATTTTAAATATCAAAGTTTCCTCTTGACTTTGAGCTGACAGTGAAAGCAACTTATAACTAACAATTGATTAGCCAAAAGAAAAAGAAGAAAATAGTTTATCGTTCTCACACGGGTGAACTGTATTATGTTAGGTCCCTTCAACGTGGTAGAAATGATATCAGATAGCCTTTCTAAAGGATTACTATTTGGGAATTAGTTAGTGTATTTTTCAGTTCAATTTTTTGGGACAAAAGTATTTTCAATTGACCCGAAGTTAAAAATTTTAATTTAAAATTTCAGAATAAAATAAGTATTGGAAATTTTTAAATAGTATTCCTAAGAATAACTACGTTATCCAATATAAAAGTGCAATAGTTTTCTTTTTCTTTGGGCCAAGGAGGTTCCATGACCCAGTTTAGGACAAAAGTATTGATACGCCTTTAAAGCCGAAAAACAAACCCAAGTAGTGAACCAGATGTCTGCTATGAAATAGGCCATCAGATAGAGGAAATTATGAGTTAGGGCTTAATTTAGTGTTTCGGATCGTGCGAGAGGGGTTGCGAAGATGGTGCAGCGGCTGACCTACCAGAAGCGCTACAATTATGCAACCAAATCCAACCAGCACCGCGTTGTCAAAACCCCTAGGACAATTCACTATCATGTCTACTATTAATTCGTAACTTGAGATTTCAAACTCTTTAAAATCACTGTTCTTTGAATGGACTCCTCATAATACATTTTTTGTTTCTTAGTATATGAGATCATTGCTTTTAAAAGTGATGCAGCAACAATGGAACAATGTAAAATTTGGAAGAGAAGAGAAGACTAGCTAAGCTAAGCTAAAATTAAGCTAGGAGATTGTTATTGATGACAAACCCTAGTAGCTATTACAATAGATGTAGATGATGAAATCAGAAAATAGGATAAGATTGATGAGCAAGGAAATAGTACGAGCTCCTCTGCCCAGCTGTCCTGCCAATAACTGTATTGGCAAAGGATGTAATGTGCTAGAAAGCTAAATGTCCAGGGACTTAGTTGTAACACTAAAAACTTGTAAAATAAAATCATTAGGACAAAAGTGCTAATGACAAAACTTGAATTCTCCTCCTTTAAAACTAACTCCAACGGCTAAGTGCAACTCTATAAGCGGCAGGTACCACTCTGTTGTGATACGCATCATTTCTCCCCTCTTGAAATTTTCCTTGTCCTCGAGGAAAAAAAGTTGGAAACCTCATCTTCAAAACATGATAATCCTCCCAGGTAGTTGCACAAAGACTTGGGCTATAACTTTGTTTCCCTTTTTAATCATTCTCCTGTCGAGTATGGACTTAGGAGCAGGGAAGTATGGGCTGGTAATGTCCATGACTAGAGGATGAGTTATATTATTAGGTATCTTGTAGCATGGTGTTAGGAGGGAGACATGGAAAGTGGGGTGCATAGTGATGTTGGATGGAAGGCTAAACTTCAGCTTGCCCAGTTTTTTGGATGATTTGATAAGGTCCATAGTACTTGGCTGCTAGCTTGGAAAAGTGAGTGGTAGACAAGGTGAACTGCATGTACAGTTGGATCTTTAAGTAGACACAATTACCAACTCGAAATTGCATGTCTAACTTGTGATGGTTAGCCTGCGAGACCATCCTTTGTTGAGCTCGATTAAGGTGATATTTGAGGAGTTGTGCCTTGAATTCTCTTGCGATAAGAATCCTATCTACTTGTTCATCAACAACATCCCCAGGAAGATAAGGCAAATATATAAGAGGAGGTTGTCCATAGAGAGCTCCATAAGGGGTGGTCTAGGTAGCAGAATGGTGTGTGGTATTGTACCACACTCAGCAAGGGGCAAATACAAGTATCAGTCTTGTGGGGCATCAGAATAATAGATCTTAGGCAGGTCTGCAAGCATCTGTTGAGAACCTTAGTCTTCCCATTGGATTGAGGATGATAAGCAGTGGAAGTGGTTAGAGTGACTCCATGGGCAGAAAAAAGCTCTTACCAAACCTTGCTGACAAACACTGGATTCTTATCACTGACTATATTCTCATGCATACCATGTAGTTTATAGACATTATCCAAGAATAATTGAGTTATATATGTAGTTTTGTAGGGGTGAGAGACTCTCATAAAATGAGCATATTTGGTTAACCTATTCACCACTACTCAGATTACTGATTTGCCTTTAGACTTGGGCAATTATTTCACAAAATCTATGCTAATACTTGACCAAGTAGTGCTGGGAACCACCAGGGTTGGGGCAATCCTTGATAAGGAGAGCTATCATATTTTCTCTTTTGACAGACAACACATTTCTTTACATGTGAAGTAACATCTTCCTTCAATGTCTTCCAATAGAATAAAGATGTCACTTTCCTGTTGATGGTAAGCTAGAATCAAGTGTTTTAGTCATAGTTTGATCTTCAATTACTACATTTTACTTGTGTTTGAGCTTAAATGATAGTGAATTGCACTTATTATGTATTTTATGCCTTGCAAGAAATGATTCCGAGCTATTAAGATAATTTGGAGCTAATTTGAATAAGTTGGACCTTTGAAGTCTGAGTAAAAGCCCAAGAAATTAAGTCGGGATCCCGTTCGAGGGTCGAGGACCAAGTCTGGATATCAAAAAGTGAGAAACCAAAGTTACTATGAGAAAATTGCACTACCGCCCCACGCCATGTGTAGCGGGCACGAGGCGCTAGTGCAAAATTCCTACAGAGTAAAAAAAATTAACTCTCTAAAAATCCTCACTAATGTGGTGCATAAGGCGGCGCATGGGGTTCCGCGCTAGTATATTTTTAGGGTCCAATTGTCTCACTTCGGCTTGAAAAGGGTAGTTTCATCCGAGCTCATTCCTACATGGTATAAATATACCAAAAATATGATTTTTAGAGGAATTTTGACCTTGGAAGCTTTGGGAGAGCATTGGAGTCTAGAAGATTCGGGATTTCATCATCTTTCCATCAATTCAATACGGGAGCTTGGATTTTAACATGAGATTGATGTTTTCTCATTCTTTAATTATATTTGTGATGACTTCCTCTATAATTATATATGGAGTAGTTTACCTTAGGGTTTGACGGATATGGTGTTTTGATAAATATTTGCGGATTACTCTAGTTCATGCTTGAATTCGTTTATGGAGTTTTGAATTGTTGCAACTTTATTCATCAGTTTATTTAATCGAAAGAGGAATATTTTGGTGATTATATTTGTATTTTTAATTTAATTTAATTCATTGATCTTGTTGAATTATTGATTGAATCAAGTTAGGAGAATATTCTAGAGACATTTTCCTAAGGACCAATCCATTAATGCATGCTTGCATACTTCACAGTGCTTATATTAGTTCATCTCGTAGAGTTAAGATTTAATCGAGAGAAGAGTCTTGACTACACATTTAAACTAATCATCGAGTTAATTCGCGAGAATCATTAGAACATTAGAGTAAATTAAACTAGAGTTAAGTCCCAAATAGCTATCTTGCACCTATCTTGTTAAACCCTCATTCCTCATATCGATAAGAAACCAACTCTGCAATCTCTAATTCCTTACTGTTAATTGTCAATTGCTTTCTTTTCGTACACTACAAAAAAAACTGGATTTAGCTACGAACGTCATCGCTAATCTGTCGCTAAAATGCTCGTTGCTAGAAGAATCTTTTGATAATCCGTCGCTAATCCGTCGCTAAATGAGATTAGCGACGGATTTTTCTGTTTAGCTACAGATTTTGTCCGTCGCTAAACCCTGGTTTTTTTAGTAGTGGTAGTTAAACTGAGTTCATAATCAATTAATTTAAGTTTTGAACCTCCTGAATAGCAATTAAACCAGAAATTACTCAAGCATTGTTTAAATCCAATCCTTGCGGAGACGATATTATACTATACTATCTTTGATTAGCGAGCATCAATTTCGTATTGTATTTGGGCAATCAATAGTGTTCAAATTAGTTTTTGGTGCTAATTCAGAAATTTATTTTATTTTATTTTGTTTTTCTTTTTTATTCGTCACAGATTTCCTCTTCTATGTGTAGGCAATAGATTGACGTCTCTGGTGTATGACTCGATATTCTTCAAAGGAATTGATTCCATACAATCCAGAGGTAGAAAAGAGTCTGCAATAGTTGAGGAAAGAGAAAGAACTTACCGGAAAGTTCTTGGGGCAACCTTCAACCTAAGAACGCATGGCTAAAAATGGTGACGATGAGGTAAATTTAGCTGTAAGAGAAGCAACACAACTTAGAGAAAAAGTTGCAAGGATAGCAGCTAAGTCGGCCCGTAGAGCTGCTGAGGAGACCGTTGAAGATGATAGGGGTTGAAGATTCAATCTAAATTGACCCTTGAATGAAGACCAGTTCGAGAATGTTGCACCCAGGACTGGTCTAGAGCATTGGGCGATTATGCCAGACCAGTCTACAATTAGGGACTGTCCAGTGTCAGATCTCTACCAGTAACATCAAATAATTTCAAGTTGAAGCAAGGCTTGTTTCAAACTATCCAGAACAATTGTGTCTTTAGACGGAAGGTGAATGAAGATCCTAAAACTCACTTGATGGATTTTGAGGAAATCATGAACACCTTATAGTACAACGGAGTGTCAAAAGATGCAGTATACTTAAGGGCATTCCTCTTTTCACTAAAGGATGATGCAAAACACTAGCTTCATAGATTACCAACGGGGTCGATCAGGACATGGGAAGACATGACTAAAAAGTTTCTTAACAAATACTTATCAGCTGCAGAAATAGTAAAATTCAGCAGGGAAATTCACAACTTCTGTCAGACGGACACTGAAACAGTTTTCGAGGCTTGAGAAAGATTCAAGGAGATAGTGAGGAAGTGTTATCATAATAGGATTGAATTGTGGCTGCAACTCCATGACTTTTGGGATGGACTAACACCCCCCTCACGACGAACTCTAAGCACTACAGTTGGAGGTCGTTTAATGAAGAAGACTACCGAAGAGATTGTGGCAATTCTTGATGAGCTCTCTGAAGATGCTAACTAGTGGTCTTCTTAGAGTAATGATAGAAGAAAATCAATTGGGGTTCATCAAGTAGATTCTAACACAGCAGTGCAAGCCCAACTAGAATTCATGGCCAAAGAGATAAGAAAGATGACCTTAGCCAAAGTCCATATCCAACCATCACCAGTTTGCGATTTTTGTGGAATGGGTCATCCAACGCATAGGTGTCAGGACTTAGCTACATATGAAGTGGTAAATACTGTGGAAAGCTTTGATAAAGGCAACTAACATAGTGGAAATAATTTCAATTCTATGGGACAAAGGCACCTAGGATTTTCTTGGAATTCGCCAAGTGGTAGCCTAAACTCATGGCAGCAAAATAACTGTGACGATCCGGCCAGTCGTATCATGAGTTACCAGTTTGTTTCCCCCATTTCTGCTTCTTTATGCTTTGTTTTGTCTTTGTTATATGGTATCGGGTTGGTTAGATCGAATCCAGAATGATTTTGGTAAGGTTTGAGACACTTAGTCTCTTTTAAGGAAGTTTAAGTTGGAAAAGTCAACATATGTGTTAGAGGGCTCGGATGTGAGTTTTGATGGTTTGGTTAGCTTCAGGAGGTGATTTGGGACTTAGGAGCATGATCAGAATGAGTTTTGGAGGTTCAGAGTAGATTTAGGCTTGA